GTATCATCATGGTATACACATGAAAAGACAATGTCCCTTTAAATAGCTTTAGTTGTATTAGTAAGCTTGTACACTGTTAAAAAAAATCCATAAAAATAGGGCACAACATACTGTATTAATATGAAAAAATTAAATTTTTTCACAGGTGTTTTACCTGTATTTAGAATTTTGCACTTCACTGTGTTGTATTTTATGGATAACGGAAATGTCCGTAAATTACTAGAGAATATACTGGCAGAAAATTACCAGTACATTTTCTTTCCCCCTACATTTTCATGTATTAAAAACACAAAATATTGTGACGTTATAAAGTAAAATAAATAACTGTCTTTTATATTGTAACTGTAAAAAACTAATACAAATTATTAAAACACTATCTGGAAATATTCACTTTGAATTAAGTTAAATTTTTTCCCAACCAACTATTAGAAAATACACACAATATCCACAATATGTATAAATTTGTAAACTTAGCATAAGAGAAACATTTCCAATTCAATTCATAAATTTATTTATTTTACTAAAAGTATCATTTCAAAACACATTAAAAATATTGTTAAATATTAACGACTAAAACAATAAATAAATAAATACATTTGATGAACACTCTAACTTTGACAGACCTAATTAAAAATCTAATTAGTTCTTAAAATATTTTTAATATACTTATATCTAATAAAATATTTATCGCTCCATTTTGTGCAGCTATCTATACCTTTAAAAAAAACAGTTTGATTGTATTTTATCTACTGAATCTGGCAAGCCACAGATTCAAAGTAACTTCTCCAAAAGTGAATCCTGGCAATGGAAAGCATTGGGAAATTGGCCCATTAATTCAAGCTGAATGCTACTGTATGTGAAAGAGAGACAATGGCAATGTTTTATTGAGCAGAAGCCAGATGAGCCAGGGAGATTAAACGCGGCGTTGATTTCAAAACCGCCTCACAAATCCTTATTTTACGAGCCCTCTTCCACAGCGGACTGGGATTTTGGAGCAGCGCGCTACTCCTGTGTGTGTCGTATTTATCCCCGTACATTTTATAATGCCTTCTCTCGTTGTGGAAGGAAGATCAACCGAGAAAGAGGATAAATCTTGTTTGTGGTCTCCTTTCAGCAGTTTGCTCTTCTAAGTCAGCGGCTGACGGGTTTACAAGGGTTTTGACGGGCGTGAGACTGAGTTTTCTTAGTCTGTGAACGTTCCTCTTTTTACAGGGTTGCGCTGTGTGAAGGTGATTGTTCCTCTGAGACCCTGACGCTCAAAGAGCGGGAACACGGTAGCGCTGTGGAAGCGTCTCACAGGAGGAATCCAGAGCAGTAAAACCTACATTTACACAGAAACGCATGATCCAGAGGCCCTCGTTTATTAGGACTACACCACAATGTTTAGACACAACACACACACTTTAAATCATGTCCTTCTCCTCCAGAAGAATGTGGCCTGGAGAGGAGGAAGAACATGCCGGGTGGCCCATATCTAACTCCCTCCACTCGGGCCACAGATTCTTCTCTGTTAGGACATACAGCTGGCCCTTTAGACCTTTGTGTTCAGTATGAAACCACTGTGTCTTAACAGCATTCATGGACTATTTTCTATCTGCTATCTATCTAGACTTCATGGTCACACGCTCACTCATTTAACTCAATGTATTATAATGAGATCTTTGGAGGGTGATAAAAACTCAGCTGAGCCCCAAATATGGCTCCTCGGGGTCGCGTAGTGCTTATATTCTGAAATTAGATTGGCGCAATTCACATGCTCATTTATCACTATCAATAGCAATGTAAGGGAACAAGAGAAGTGACCATTAAATATATTGGGAAAAGAACAGAGTTACGCATAACAACTCTTCTTGCGTTTAACATGGTCTTCAATTGGCTCTAGTAGTAATATTGTAGAAAGCCAAAGCTAATTTTCTCCATCTGCAATTCACCTAAGGGAGCACTAAGAATGCTAAAAGATCAACAATAAGAAAATATAAATATGTAGAATTTGTGTTAAACAGGATACAGCGATACACCAAAGGTTTGAACAGAGGCCCAACATGAGTAAGACTCACAACCCTTATCTGAAAGTTCACATGCTAATGCGAAGTCTGGCGCTTTGCTGGGCTAGACCAGAAGTTTTCAAACTGGGATCCAGAGAGTCAAAAGGGACTTCAAGAGCATTCTAGGGGGTCTGTGGAAAATTTGACGAAAGGATTTGACAATTTATTTTTAGGGCTGTCAAAGTTAAAACTGCTTTGAAGCAATATATAGTGTGCAAAGCGCTATACAAATACATTTGAATTGAAAATGTTTTTCTTCATATAGCTTCAGTAGTTTGTATATCATAAGGGGAAGAGAAAGAAACGCTGTCAACTTCATACAAAGTAAACGTTTTGCAGTCAACATTTATTTAATTCTAAACAATATAAAATATCAATATTTTACATATTACATTAATATATAAAATAGTATTTGTAAATATTATATATATATATATATATATATATAAACTTAATGTAAATGTTTTCAAGATAATATTTTAATAATTTGTAATTATTAATTTATATTTATTAATTTACAATAAATATTTAATATGAAATAAATACATAAAATATTAGTATTCCTAAACATTACATAAAAATATAAAACAGAATATATCTTAATACAAAGTAAATGTTTTCCAGACAACATTTTAATAATTTGTAAACAATATTTGTATCTGGAAACGATATAAAAGGCAACTATTACATTTAGCAAAGAACACCTTACACTTTTTCCTCACATTTGGAGGTACTTGATGTCAAAAAGTTCATTTTAGATTCTTTGAAGATTCCTTAAAAATGAATTTGCCCACATTTATTGACCAAATAAAAATATTAAAATACCCCGGTTCAGTTCAGTGCTCGACTTGCAATAAATATTAGGGACATAATCTATTTACTGAAGCGGCCAATTACCAATGTGTTCTTAAACTTTAATAATGTGCCCCCTCAAATAGAAATAAGCACTGTAGCAGTGTTATGCAGTCAAAGGTGTGCACACCACATTAACTGCCTCTGCTCTTTGCCAAGCAAAACCACTTACACCAGAATCAACAAAACATATTCATCAGCCCACATTCATCAGCCCTGTAATCTTGCTCAGGGTGACGAGGTAACAAGAGCGCACTGGATAATAGCCAATTGACAAGTGTTTTGTGGTCATGTTCTTTGTGTTTAGTAGCTTTTGATACTATAGGTTAGCGATTATAGGCTTTTCTCTGCCTACCCCTGACAAAAGTGCTGTTTTTAACCAGGATCCTCGGCACAAAAAGACATTCAAATTGATTCGAAGCTGCAAGCTGGATGCTCTGAGCTTTAATATACTGACTGGAGGTGATGAATCACAGCTAAGCTACAGCTAGCACGCTAACGGCCCAGCACTATGATAACAAACACAGTTCTGTGTTATGGGTCATAGAGGCATTGACATTCATTTCCCTGAAGCTGAATAACCGACTCGCTGGCCTTCACAGCGAGCAGCACTGGGACGGAACGGCGGCCATGCTTGGTTCCCTCGCTCCTGGCTCCACAACACAGAACGGAGAAACAAACAACGCTTTGATTGAAACGCACACGCATAAGTGATCGGTCTTATTAAATGACGTAGAGGAAATTTAGTGGAACTGCGTGCATAAATGGCCACATTGATTTGTCCATTGTGATTTATGCAATGCAATATGTTATGAGCACTGAACATGTTTGTGAATATTCACACACTCCCACACATGCTCGCGGATAAATATCACCCCTTCCTAACACAAATCTGCTCAACATATTCAAGGCTAAATTGACCTAGAGTGTTTTTACCATCATAAGACACCTCAGTTTAGAGAAATTTCCCAGAAAGAGAGGTTGTGAATATAACAGAGATAAAAATAGAGAGAGAGAGAGAGAGAGAGAGAGCACCAGGGAGAAACAAGAGACAGCGGAACTCAATCAGAGCCGGGTCACGAGGGTTCAGGGCTGCAATACAGCGTCTGTGCAGTGCTGAAAAATGTGAGGTGACAGTTCATTTTCGCTGGTGACAGTCTTTGTCGCTCTCACTCGCCTGCTCGCCCTGCCAACAGGAACAGTGCCGGCAACCGTTGCCCTGACAGCAGAGGAGGTGGACCTTATCTCATGACTGGGCTCCGCAGAGACCAATTGGAGGAGCCGCACTGGTCTGTGATGCTCAGGAGAGAGAGAACGAGGACGCAAAAATCACAGCAGAAAGGCTTAAACGAGAGTCTGCGAGAGGAGCGCACAAACAGATTGCCCTCACAGGCCTTTTACTGCTGCATCAGAAAGAGTCAAGGATAGTTATATGTCAAAGAAAATCTGCACGTTTAATTGTCTTAAAGGAAAAGTTCACCAGTAAATTAAAATTCTGTCCCCATTCTGACTTTTTTTTTTTTTTTTTTGATGTTTCAAATGTTTTTGTCAATTTAATGAAAGTCAATGAGGTATTAAAACAACAACACTGGAGTGAATACAGTGTAGTTGGTGTAAATATTTATATATAAAATACATATAAATAAAAAATATAATATATACATCATACATAATATCTAATTAGCAAATACATAAATCTAATCTTCATTTATAAATCATATATTTATATATTATAATACATAGATATGAATAAATGTATTTATCTAAAAATAAATATTCACATGTATAGTATGAGACAAATGTATAGATGAGATATATATGTAAATAAATGTATATATATGTTTGTAATATATGTAAGGATATATATATATATATATATATATATATTTTCTC